TGTTAGGGACCTCTCCGGGGTACTGAAGAGCAATGGTGTCACTCTGGAGACTAAGGTACATCCGATACAGACTATGGTCTTTGCAATCACTTGTTATGCATCAGAGAGTTGGACAATGACTAGGGAGGGTAGAGGAGAATTGATGCCTTTGATCTGTGGTGCTGGAGAAGAGTATTGAATGTACCATGGACTGCCAAGAAAACAAACAGATTCATCCAGGAGAGGGTTAAACCAGGCTGCTCCTCAGAGGCAAGGATTCTGGGGCTTCATCTCACATACTCTGGACATGTTGTAAGGAGAGACCGGTCCTTGGAGAGGGACACATGCTTGGGAGGTGGGAGGGACGGTATAGGAAGGGAAGACCCTCTAAGAAGTGGATTGATTCAGTGACTGGAGTAATCGGCATGGGTGTGTCAGAGGCAGTGTGAGTGGCACAGGATAGAGTAGGGTTTAGGGTTGTGGTACATAGGGTCGCTATGAGTCGCAAGTGACTCAACGGCACATAACAAAACAATAATAATGAAATAATAAAAATATAAAAAGAAGTCAGATTGCAGATATTTCATTAACAGTTACATCCTATCTGCAAATAAAACATTTTATTAAAATTAAAATTAAAAGGTGAAAATACAACCTAAGTATCCATCAACAAACGAACGGATAGAGAAGCTATGGTATATTTATACAATGGAATACTATGCTGCATTGAAAAACAAGGAACTCATGCAATATTGTCCAAAATGGGTGACCCTGAAGGGCATTATGCTGAGTGAACTATCTCAGTCACAAAAGGACTAATACTGCATGGTGCATGGTGCCACTGTTGTAGAATGGAACTGACATCAGGGTTGGGGTAAGACTAAAAAAAACTGGATAAATTTATGAATACTGCATTGAAACAAATGAGGGAGAGAACAGTTTAAAAGCTATATATGATAGGGTGTTATAGTTTTCACAAAAGTGCAGAATTAAGATTGCAAAGTGGAGTGTACTCAGGGTGGTGGGATTGTATACGAATGTAAGAATTTTTCTTTTACTTTTCAAAGAGAGGAGTGAACTGGGGGAGGGGTGGGCAGGGAGAAAAGTGCAACAATGAATGAATGGGAATCCAAAATCTCTGTAAATGTTCATAAAAATTAATATTTACTTTGCTGAACACAGAGCCTATCATACCTACAGGAAGTACACTAATCACTTTTCAAATATAATGTAAGCTTCCTTACCTGCCCAGTCCAGGAATTTCACACACTCAGTCTGGTCATATCGGGCAGCAACATCTCGTGCTGTTTCATCTCGAAAGTTCAGAGCTTCTATATCAACATCCAAGTCCACTAATGCTTTCAAAGTTTCCAGTCGACCCCAGGCTGCAGCAGAGTGTAAGAGTGTGTAGCCTAGCAAGCAGAACAAAGACGACAGTCAAGATGGTAGTCAGATAGTGTTGTTCCAGGATTTTTTATGCAGCAGAAAATCAAAATGGCTATCAAGTATCAAACAATTATTGTGCTTTGCAGATACTGAATTCATTAAGTTTCATGAGATCAGAATTATCATAATATCCATCTTGGTAAGGAAATAAAAATCAGGAGAAGCTATGAAACTTTTAATAATGCTTTTCATACAACCATCCATAGACTGCACATTATCTATGCACATTGTGTCCCACAAAATCTCTCATATACACTGAACTTCAAACAATTAACTACCACCTAAATGTATTACGATGGGAAAGTCTGCTGTTAGGGATGTCTCCAGAGTACTAAAGAGCAATGGTGTCACTCTGGAGACTAAGGTGCATCTGATACAGGCTATGGTCTTTGCAATCAATTGTTATGCATCAAAGAGTTGGACAATGACTAGGGAGGATAGGACAATTGATGCCTTTTATCTGTGGTGCTGGAGAAGAGTACTGAATGTACCATGGGCTGCCAAGAAAACAAACAGATTCATCCAGAAGAGTGTTAAACCAGGCTGCTCCTCGGAGGCAAGGATTCTGGGGCTTCGTCTGACATACTTTGGACATGTTGTAAGGAGAGACCGGTCCTTAGATAGGGACACATGCTTGGGAGGGGAATGGGACGGCATAGGTGGGGAGACCCTCTATGAAGTGGATTGATTTAGTGACTGGAGTAATTAGGATGGATGTGTCAGAGGCAGTGCGACTGACACGGGATAGAGGAGGGTTTAGGGCTGTTGTACATAAGGTCACTATGAGTCGCAAGCAACTCGACAGCATATAACAACAACAACCTATGTCTATTATCACACTGTTCCCCCAGTACCCCACTGGCCCTCCTCAGCCTTGTCTCTTCAATCACCAACCTCCACCATCCCAGTGATCATCTCTCCTTCCTCCTTTTCTGGCCCTCTCTCTCCAACCACCCCACCCCTTTTTTGTTTTCATGCACTAACTTCTTTACATTGTGTTTCATTCATATACACTGTGTTTTATATAATATTTCACTTACACTTTGTTTCATACAATCATTCATACACATTTGATACAACTAATTACCATTGACCTGTACCTATTAAAACAGCCAATAAATTATATGCCAAAAATGCCAGCATAGGAAGTCAGAGAAGAACCCTTAACATCTTCTATGATGTTGTTATATGACCTCATAGCTGACTGACTCATGACTGACCCTCCAGCAGGTTTCCAGAGGCTGTAACTCATATGAGAGGAGACTGGTCACCTTCCCCCTGCTCCAGAGCAGCAGGTTAATTCAAACTATCTTTGGGTTGACAGTATAAATCATTAGCACCAGATCACCAGAGCTCTCCCAGTACACATTTATTTTGGAACAGAGTTGAAATCATGATTTTAGTCAAAGGGATTTCAACAAACTTTAATTACTTTAGGATTTTTTGTTAACATAATTATACAGAAGCAAGAGTGGGCACAAAGCCAGGCTTGGAGCAGGCCAGTGGGAAAAGGCTGGCGAGAGGGCCAGAAAGCTGGACTTTTAGTAAGGTCCCCACAAGTGCTCAATAGGTTGGAGATTGTATGTGTGCCTGCCCAGTGTGCATCTGTGCACATGCCCCGCACACATGCCCACCCTGCATTCGTGCCTCCATAACCCACCTTCACATCCAGTCAACTAACTGCCTTAAGTCCGGAACACATTGGTCTGACCTAGCTGCAACAGTTATAAAGAGAAGAGGCTGTTTTCACAGGCCCTGAACTGAAACTTCCCTTGGGTCAGAAGTTCAGAGAGAAACACAGGCAGGGTAGCTGCCCCACCCTCTTCTGGAGCAGTGACTTCAAATCAAGAACCTATCATTGACTCTGGTGTGAAAAACTCTACCACAGCAATGTCACATACACAAGCCCAAAGCAAGATGTCATCCCCCAAAAGTGAAACAGTATCAATGGATTTCCTGACACCAGAAAGTCTGATGGAAATTTCTGACACAGAATTCAAAAGAACAATGACTGAATATTTTTAATGGGTGAAAGACAAACTTGAAGAATTACAGGACACTGCAAGCAAAAACTAGAATGAGCTTAAAAAAAAAACAATGCAGTTAAAACAAACAAGGCATTAGAGGCTCTGGAAAAAGAAGAAACCCCAATCCAAAATATGAGATTCAATGTTTCAGATGCTGTTAACAGGATAGAGGGTCACATGAACAGAGTTGAAGAGATGGAACACAGAACCACTGAAACAGAAGATAGAATTGTCACCACTGATCTGCTAGAGCAAAAAGCAGAATCAAAATAGGAAGGAAAGAGAAGAAAACCTAAGAATAGTGTGGTACACCATCAAGAGAAATAATGTGCATCATTGGAATCCCAGAACAGGAAAAAGCAAATAAAGGCACCAAAAAAGTTGTGGAAGAATTACTAGAAGAAAACTTCCCAGGCATAATGAAGAATGAGAGAATATATATTCAAGAAGCTGAGCGAACACCATCTAGAATAGACTCCAAAAAGAAGAACACCAAGGCATATCATAGTCAAATTTGCCAGAACAAAAGATAAGGAAAGAATTCTGAAAGCAGCAAGGGAGTAACATAAAGTAACTAATAAGCTGATAAGATTAAGTGCCAGTTTCTCAGCAGAAACCATGCGAGCAAGAAGACAGTGGAACACTCAAAGAACACAACTGTCAACCTAGAATATTATACTCAGAAAAAGTGTCCATCAAATATGAAGGGGACATCAAGATATTCCCCAAAATACAGAACCTAAGGGAGTTTGTAAAAACAAGAACAGTATTGCAGGAAACACTGAGAGATGTCCTTCTTACAGAGATGCCACAGAAAGCAGGATGGGCCAAAGTAACTAGCAACAACACCAAAAAGAATTGAACCAAATGATAGCAATAAAAGCTTGCCTCTCAAGAATCACACTGAATGTGAATGGTTTAAATGCACCACTGAAGAGAAAAAGAGTAGCAGATTTGATTTAAAAAAAAACAAAACAAAAAAACCAACACTCGTATCCATCAATTTGCTGTCTAAAGAGACACACCTGAAAAGGGATGATAAAGAAAGACTAAAAATAAAAGAATGGGGGTGGGGGGGAATATACCAAGCAAATCGCAACCAGAAAAAAGCAGGAGTAGTGATATTAATCTCCGATAAAATAAATTTCAATGCAAAAACCATCACAAAGGACAAGAAAGATCATTACATAATGATTAAAGGGTCAATAGAACAAATGGTAAAAGCTGGCTTATCAATAATAACACTTAATATGACTGGACTAAATGTGCCAATTAAGAGAAAAAGAATGATTAAACAAACAAGACCCATCAATACGTTGTCCATAAGAGACACATCTAAAAAATGGAGAGAAGGACAGACTCAAAATAAAAGGCTGGGAAAAAATATACCAAACAAATGGCAACCACAAAAAAAAAAAAAAAAAAAAAAACAAAAAAAAAAACAAACAGAAGTGTCATTTTGGATCTCTGATAAAACAGACTTCAGAATGAAAACAACCATAAAAGATAAGTAAAGGCATTGCATACTGATGAAAGGCACAATAAACCAGGAAGACATAACTTTGGTCAACATTTATACACCAAAAGATAGACCTGCAAAATACATGAAACAATGATTAACAGAATTGAAGAAAGAAATAGACAGCAACACAATACTGGTAGGAGACTTCAACACAACACTATCTCCAAAGGATAGGTCAACTCAAAAGAAACTTAGAAAAGATGTAGAAGATCTAAACTATACAATCAACTAACGTGACTTCGTGGATGTATTCAGGGAACTGCACCCAACTAAAACTCAATTCACTTTCTTCTCAAGTGCATATGGTATATTCTCCAGAATCAATCACATATTAGGACACAAAGCAAGCCTCAACAAATTAAAAAACAATGAAATAATACCAAATATCTTCATAGACCACAATGCCATAAAATGAAAAATTAACCACATGAGGGTAAGGCTTATAAAACCACCTATTTGCAAATAAAACAACTCTTTGCTAGGACATAATTAGGTTATAAAAGAAATAAAGTGTGAGATTTTAAAAGTTCCTTGAAACAAATGAAAATTAACATACAGCATACCAAACCCCTCAGATCCAGCTAAGGCAGTCCTTGGGGGCAGTTCACAGCAAAAGGCAAACATAAAATACAAAGAGTTCTCCATTGCTTTTTTCAGCTCCTTTGATATCATAACAATATATACACAAATAAAAAAAGAAGACGAAAAATCAATGAACTAACTCAACACCTGGAAAAAGAACAACAATCTAATCCTATGGCCTGTAGAAAAAAAGGAAGTTATAAGGACAAGAACTGAAATCAGTGCGAGAGAAAGCAGGAAAAACAACTGAAACCATCAATAAGACCAGGAGCTGGTTTTTCAAAGGGGTCAATAAAACTGACAAACATTGACAAACTTAACAAAAGAAAGGGGGGAAAAGAGAAAAGACACAAATAACTAAGAAATTATAAAGGTGACACCACAACAAAGCCAGATGAAATAAAACTGGCAATATCAAATACTCTTATAAATTTGAAAACCTAGAGGAAATGGACAAATTCCTTGAAATACATGCCCTACTGAGATTGACACAGACAAATGTAGAACACTTGAACAGACCCATAACAAAGAAGAAATTGAACAGCTCATGAAAAGAATTCCCCATAAGAAAAGTCCTGGCCTAGATGGCTTAATAGCTTAATTTTACCAAATATTCAGAGAAGGTCTGGCACCAATTCCACTTAAAGTATTTCATAAAATAAAAAGAAAAAAAGAAGGAATACTCCCAGAGTCATTCTATCAAGCAAACATAACATGAATATCAAAGCCAGGCAAAGCTACAAGCAAGAAAGAAAACTGTAGACCCATATCTCTCAAGGATATAGATGCAAAAAATCCTTAACAAAATCCTAGCCAATAGTATCCCAAAGTACAT